AAAATTAGAATAAATTTAATATTCTGATTCTTCTAAGAGACAAAGAATATCGTAAATTCAATGTCTCGTCCAGTTCTATTATATCGTGATATTCTGTGCAAGTTTATAAAAACTACGCTTTTATGTTATAACAGTTAAATGTCAATTTATTGAGAATGTGATTATTCGGGATTCGAAGCAGATCATATGGATTTCTTAAAAAATTCGAAAATCAGTAATCTATGCAACGAATATAAATACATTTCGACCTCAACTATTAAAGAGAAATTTTTACGTTAGGAAAAAATTAAATACCCATACGTTCGCCTGTCACGTGTACATATCCAATTCGTAACGCAATCCAAAAGAATGAAGAAACCGATGCATGATGATACAAGAATTGTATCTTTTTTTAATTAAACACTTTCAGAGCTGCTTCAATTTAAGAGTCAAACGCGTAAGAAGGTTGCGCCTTCTACTCGCCACGTTCCTTTGTTGCATGCAGCGCGTATAATCGTGCACGATGATATACACCATATACAACGCAACAGTATACAGGGTGTCTCATATATCATATCTATCACCTTTTTTATCTTTGCAGGGTAAGGTTGAATCAAAAATATGTTTAGACAAAAGTTTGAGGAGAAACGTATGATGGCCGTTGGATAACTGTTTAAAAGTCACATGAGCATTACTATCATTTTTAAAAATAAAATCATGACCTTTTTTACGTAATATAATTCCTCTAGTTGTTCTGGATGCAAAAGTATTAAAATAAAGTTATTAAAAGATTAACGAGATTTGCGAGATATTTTATATTTTATTCTAGAATATTTTGACATGAAAAATAAAATATCTCGTAAATTATTGATTTTTTGAGAACTTGACCTAAATACTTTTATATACGGAATAACTAGAGGTATCATATAATTATATACAAGGAATTATATAAAAAAAAAAATCACACGATGATGAATATATTTTTAATTTGACCTTACCTTGCAAAGATAAAAGGATGACGGATTAAAAAGGAACACCTTGTATAAACGAACAGAAACGCACGAAATGGCCGTGAAAAGCTAAAGGAAAAGAAATAATCTTTGCGCTTTCGCGAAAAGTCGCTCGAGGCTTATTTAATTTGGTGCGGATAAAAATAGAGTGAGAACTATTAATTTTAAAATGTGCGTGACTGATAAATTCTGTTGTTATTACAGAGCCTTATCGGCGCCTCGGAACAAAACATATAACATCTTGCGTATTATGATCAAAACATTGAAGATGAAAATCATTCCGAGAGCTCAGTATACTTTTTAATGCCGTAACCTTACATGTGAAAAAACATAACCGAGAACATTTCACTAATTTTTTGTTGAACTTTATATTTAATATGTATTTCATTCTTTCTACGAGAATTTCATGAAAAATTTCAATGGAAAGATAATTTGCAAGATACTGTAATAAAAATGTTTTTAATTTTCGCTCGTTCTGTTAAATATTTCAATGAATGCATTATTCATCAGAATGTGGAATATTAAATATTATACACATATTATATAATATTATATAACACATACACATATATTTAAATGTCAAGATGTTAAAGAAATATATGGTATTAGATTATAAAGTTTATTTGAGTTGCATCAAGATGCATTTAAATAAATGAAGAGTTAAGTCTTCAGTAGAAAAATGAGGCAATCTATAATTCGTATTTTAATAAAACCATATTCAATTTATATACGGTTTAGTCTGCAATGAAACGTATATATTTAATATTGCAAAATATCTTAGATATTTTTGAATAAAGCGATATGTGCATTGATAAATCATAATAAATTCACACTGCAAAAATGTTGGATATGTTTTAATAATCAATTTGACCACGTTTCACATTTGATTTTATTATGATATTTGAACTAAATTATTTTTAAATACTTGATATTTATGTCTAATATTGGATGGACATTTCAATTTATCAGCTTGAAGATATAAACGCGACATTATTACGAAACCAATCAAGATGGACTTTAAAAAAGAAGACTTATGAAAGATTCAGCCAATACTTTAATTACATCCAGATATCTAGTATGAAGAAGAGTAAAGCCTTTAATTCCTGAATATTACATTAAGAAGTCGTCGACCCGCACGCGAGCATGATGAGAAGCGAAGTTGATGCGCGAAGAAGCATTGTTATCCGCGGCGGATCTTAAATCTCTAATCAGAGGGCTAGCGCAAAGTAGAAATACTAATTTTTGAAAGTATGATAATGGAGTGAAATCCGGTGGCAGACTTTCCTTTTGATGGCACGATGTAATCGTGCCTCGACGTCGCTTTGCAATTTTCCGCGCAAAAACTGCGATGCGAAAACGATTGAGAGAACTGTGATCAAACTCTCCTATAAACACGCGAGAGAGATATTCGGAATATGTCAAAAAATGTACAAAATTGTACAAAAAAAAAAAAAAATAACAACTACTTTAGCCTTAAATATCAAATCAGAAAACTTTGGAAAATTTTGGAATTTTATGCATAAAAGAAACAAAACCAGTTTTGTTAAAATGTTTATAGATTTGGTCAGATACAAATTTAAAACTAAGTTTAACTATCAAAATAATTATGTAAAATATTCAAATTGTTTTTTAAAATACCGAAACTTTTATATAAATAGAAAAAGACAGTTTTATTAAAGTATCTAAAAATTTGACCAGATACAGATTTAAAAAAATAATTTGGTTAAATTGCCAAAATAATTATGAAGAACCAAATTGCTAAAATATCAAAAATTGTGCAATGTAAGTTTATTATAGTCTGTCGATTGCAAATATTTATTAAAAACATTTTTATTTAACATATTTTGCGAGATTTTTCCTCATATATCTTTTTAACTTTCATGCTATTAATTCAAGATAGCAATAAATTCCAAAGAGCTTTAAGATAATGTTAAATAAAAAATAAATCCTTTATTATGTAATAAGATATTTGAACTTAAGTAGATAAATTCAGATTTAATCTAATAATCAGATAAAGTCAACTGTTATTTTCCACGCAAATTAGCGTAGCTTTTTTTTTGTATTTCAAGATTCGAACGTCACATTTCGAGAAGATGTGTATCTTGTTTCTTTAAATTCTTTTTTATAAGAAATACCTCGAATTCGTTTGATACCGTGAATTCGCTTGTATCATAAATGTTTCTGTTTTTAATCTCGAACGCGCAGAGATTCTACTTATATCATTTAGCTCATTTGAATTTTCTCGGAATGGTTATAATATGAGAATTATCGACGAAGCATTTTAAGATTATCGTCTTAATTAACAAAAAACAGCGAGGCGTGCTGCTTGATCAATATAATATCTCCACTTTTCTCGGAACTTTAATTTATCGTCGGGAAAGTGCACGATTCTTAATTAACGCTAATAAAAAAAGAGTACGAGACCGCTCTCCCCGCGTTGAGGGATGAAAGTTCCGTATGTTGGCGTTTGTTCGATCGCATACAGCAGCGCGTTTCGTGTCTCATATCCAGCGTTAAGTAATCCCTCATTACGCGACAACGACGAGCGAGATGAGCGCGAATAGCGTGACGGAAAAATGAGACTCAGAATCGTACTTAATCATTCGCGTAGAATGCACGATGATATGCGTGTGGAAGGGCGCGAGCGCGAGAGAGAGAAAGAGAGAGAGAGAGAGAGAGAGAGAGAGAAGAGAGAGAGAGAGGGGGGAAGAAGAAGGCTATAATGACAACTGCGGCATAGAACGTAGGCCGTGTTTCGTTATGAAACGGAGCATATGTTAAAGACATCAAGGTCCACACGATGCATTTAGCATCGCGTTCAGCGCTAAGTGGTGCCGCCCGATTCAGAGTTTCATTCGTCTAATGGAGATCAATGTCAACGCAAAATAAGGACGGAAAATATCTCCCTCCTCCCCTCCTCTCTCTCTCTCGCTCCCCTCTCTTACTCCCACCTCACCTCCTCTCTTTCTCGTATTAAATAGGGAATGAGAAAAGAGACTTGAACGTTATAGGAAAAACGAATTCGTCTGCAACAGCAATAATATGCCGACAACAAGTTATCGTGCGTCAAAACAATCTACATGACAATGAAGATAAACGGACAAAGGAGGCGTTCATTCAATACTTTTAAATTGGAGCAGGCGGCGTCTCTCCTCGGCTTGGGAATAAGTCAAGCGTGACATTTCGCATTTTCGCACCTTATCTCATTTCCTTTCCGGTACTGTTCTTTCTGTTTCTCTCTTTCTTATATCTCATCCGCGAACCGTTCTTTGCTCGTTCTAGATGTCAAGGCGACGAGCGTTAACACACAAACGCAAGACGCGTCCGACATAAGTTGAAGAACAATCGATCGTCCGACCCGATGTTCGTTTAAATAATTTCGGGAACAACCTAATTTCTGGCGTAAGAAACCTTTCCCGCTCTCCGTCCTGCTCCCTGGCTTATTTTCCGTTTTCACCCTCGCATCGCGGAATAACATTGGTCACGCACCGCAGCGTCCACGAGGAAGTACATCGTTCACCCCGAAAATCCTGATGCTGGCGAAATTTTCGCGGAGTGGCAGATCGGTGAGCTGTCACGTTCGACGTATATCTCACAATTTCCCGACGACGTCATGGCGCAAAAGGCTTGGGAGTATGCGAAGGGTGGAGGAGGAGGTGGAGGAGGAGGAGGAGGAGGAGGAGAAAGAGGAGGAGAAGAATGAGGAGGCGGTGGCGAGTAGGAGGAAATGCAGAAGTAGGAAGAGGAGAAGGAGAAGCGATTGCGGGGGAGATAGAGGCGAAGCAGAAGGAGGTGAAGAAGAAAAAGAAAAATTCTCTCCTCCATCCTCCTCAGGGACGATGTAGAATGACGCAGGAAGAAGGGAAAAAGAAGGAGAGCGCCGAGAGGGTGCGGTGGATACGATGACAAGAGACACGTAACGAGAAGAGAAAGATAGACAGAAAGAGAGACCGAAACAGATGCACCTGATGTCGTAAATAAATATAATAATATAAATATAAAGAGGCTTACCTTGTCCGAGGGTATGGTGCGCACCGTAGTCATCGTAACTGATGGCCAGGAGGCGTCGTGTCGCGAGTAATCCAGGGTAATTGATGGAATCCGTGGTCTTGATGACGACGTCGAATGTCTTGCGTCCGCCGACGACGACGACGACGACGGCGACGACGGCGACGACCGCGACGGCGGTGACGACGACGACGGCGGCGACGGCGACGACGGCGGCGATGGCGACGATGGCGACGACAACGATGACAATGACGGCGATGACAAGGACAAGGATGACGCTGACGATGGCACGGGGAATGCCGAGACGGGGATTGTCGGCGACAGTGTTGAACGATAGGGCGGGAGACGAGTCGTGAGACGGGGGTGCACTCTATTCCCAGCTACGATGATGAGAACCAGGGCGAGGACGAGAGGACGAGGACAAGGACGAAGGGCTAGGATGAAGGACGAGGAGAAGAACGGCGACGGCGACAACGAAGACAAAACACTTTTCCTGACGCTCGCGCAAGGGGGCCCCCTCGTGCGCGCGCTACACTACACCATTTCGATGAGCCGCGTCGTGTCGTGTGTGCCTCTCGCACCGCGACCCGACACCCCCGCTCCGGAATCGGCTACGCCGATGGCCGATGGCCGCCGCCGCCGTTACTTGTATGCGTCCGGGCCGGGCCGTTGTTCGGGCAACATGTTTAGCGACGCTGAACCGCACCAAAACGAATGCCAAGCACCACGAGCGGACGGACGCGGATGCACTTCTACGCTTGGTGTGTGCCACGGCCGTACCGTACCGCACCGTCGTATCGCACCGCACCGCACCGCACCGCACGCATGCACGCACGCACGCACGCACCCGTGTTACCCGTCCCGTGACAGTGCCAAACACATAAAATGGCGATCTCGCGCTGGAGTTAAGAAACTTCGGAGGCAACAAGCGTCGCGGGGACTGCGCGGTCAACTAGACGGCGGACTCGATCAACGTCACGACGACAGTACCGTAGGCTCGTACGCAATCGGGTTGCGCGCGCTTCCAGACATGCGCATTACGCCAGCACGATCGCGAACTTCCATGTAGTACTAATGGTCCTTGCACATGGGACGCGTCACTAGGGAGTAACGCGTGGGTCATGCGTTAACCAATCAGTGTTTCGTTTCGTCCGGAAATAGATATATGATTTTGTGTTTGCAAAAGCCAATAAAAATACTCGCATCGACTGTGTGCATTTCTATCAATATAGATCAAATTTAATCTCGATTTAATATACTCTTTGTTTTTTTCTAATTCTTAGAATTAAAATGTGATACAAAAGTAAATTAATGATAATCTATATTGGTAGAAATAAAATTTGTTCGCATTGCTAGTACTTCCTAGGATTTTTTTTTATATTTGAAATGAGGGATATGTATGCGAGCGTTGGAGAAAGAACGAGAAACGCGAGTGCGGAAAGTACATACAAGCGATACCTGAGTACTGAGCTACTCAAATGTTATTTCTGAACGCAACCTTATAAAATAAAAAAGAAAAAAATTAATCTAAAAAATTAGTCTATAGAACGAGTAAACTTGCAAGTCGATCTGGAACCGGAAACGGCGCTTCTACATATCAGAAGCGGTACCAACGTTTCGTTGTGCGTGGCGCCTCCGTCGCGTCTTCCCGGGAGCCTAGTTGCGCGCGACGCTTGGCGCTTTCCGCCGTGTTGCGGCCGCAGTGAGCGTCGGTGTGCGTAAAATGGCGGACGGTGACATTGATTTGTACGCCGACGATCTCGAGCAAGATTTCGCGCAGGTAACTCGCATTTCTCTTTGATAGCAATAAAGGTACAGGGCCGCGTTCTCTCTTTTTCCGTACTATCGAAGGGGCCATTCGCGTTCGACACATTCACACTCCAACGCGAACAAAAATCGCGACGCTACGTGCCGTACCGCGCCGCACCTCACCGCACCGCACCGCACCTTATCGTGCCGCGTCGCGAACTGTGAGCGACGGCAATTACTGTTCCGCGTCGGTTCCGCGCGCGCCGAAAAACCGAAGCTGAGTGTGTCAGCGTTGTGGTGGACGGGCGATCGTCCCTAACCATCGGCTCGCATCATTGATTTCTTAGCCGACTATTACGAGTGTGCCGGCGAGCGAGACTTCGAAGAAAAGAGCGCCCGCCTGCGCGCGCGCGCGCGCGCTCGCGCGTAAATGAGCGAACGAACGAACGGCAAACAAACAACTAACAAATAAGCACGTCCGAGACGAGCTTTTCTCTAAAAGTGTTATCTCCTTGCCGATCACGGTTGACCGATCGCCTGTCTAGCTAGTGCCTGTCTGGTGCCCTTGATCGCGTGCGCGTACCCGCTTCCGGAGCTAAGCGCTAAAACAGTAATACGGGTTCGCAACAGGAATCGACCGCAAAATGGTGCTAGCGGTAAGGCGAATGTCGTTAACTCTTTATCCCCTTTTATAATTCTCTCTCCGCCCCCTCCACTCCCCTTTCCTTCCTTCCTTCCTTCCTTCCTTTCTTCCTTTCTTCCCTTCTATCTCTTCTATCTTCCCTTGATTCTTGTGATCTTTAGATTTTTTTACGCGCACACGCATACTTCTAAAAATGCGAAAGTATACACACATACACACCGCGACATTTCGTGCACTGCATGCAAGTTCACGTTTCCTTGTACTTTTTTTATTGTTGCTACTCCATTTCCCGCTTTTCAAATATCTTCCCCATTATGCGAGAAAGTGTCGTTGTTTAGAATATTTCGATTAAAGCAGGGATTGAAATCAGTGTAATTTCGGGCGAGTTGAGATTTTATTTTTGAGAATCTTGATCTGTCTCTAGTATAGGAGTAAGATTATGCAAGCTTCGTGTGAGAGAATTAAATGGCAACATTTAGCATGAAAAATTTGTAGGCAAATACATCTTCAGCCGTACGTTTTTATAGAAAAATATTTATTGCATTTATTGCATCTCGGTTAAAATGTCTGGACAAGGATAATTATTCTTGTGCATTCATTGCATACCAAAGTCTGAATTTGAACGTGAAATTACAATGTGAGGTCAATCCCCGCTTTTTATCGTATCTTTACAATGCAAAAAGTATGTATATCTGCATATCTGTTACAGTCGAAGTGTACGATTGGTTGAACCACAAGGTGCAGGAAGTCGTGTAATAAGAAAATGGTACATCTAACGATTTTTTACATCTTGATGTAATTTATTTTCGTAAATTAGTTTATAAATACCAAGCTGGTGCGAAAGCACTTTGAGATCATGTTGTTATATTGAGCATTACTTCCAATTTTGGAGGTGTCCAAGTCTGACTTCTATTACTCTGTCAATCCTTTTGCTGTTCTCTTTTAACATTTTGATGCTCAAATAACAAAATGGACTCAATACGTTCTTATGAACTTGATGGTGCAACTTTTTTTTTAAACTAAAAAATGATTATAAAAGTTTTTAATTAAAGATTTAATTAAGTTTTTCTTGAGAACACAAGATACACATAACTTTAACAGTGATCACAATGCAGAAATAGCTTAGGCTAAAATAATGAAATATTATTCTAGTGTTGTATTTTTTTATAAAGTTTTTTTGCACTTTGACTGTAACATATTCAGTACATATGTGTGTGTTAAATAAAAATTGTAAAATGCATATATTATTTGTTGATCAATCTGCTTGTCATCTAAAATAATGAAAAATTACTACTTAACAATAGCGTAGCGTTACGCATTTTTTTATATTTTATTGTAATTTTATTACTATAATGTTCATTTACGTGTTTGTTTCAGGATGAATTTGCTGGAGATGGCGTTGATCTTTATGATGATGTAATCGCTGCTCCTGCAGGAGGTAATGGTGGCGTTTCTTCCGGGAATGCTGGAGAAGGTGGTGGTGATACCACATCTCCAAATGAGGAAACTAATGGAAATGCGCCTTACCACCAACTTGGCAATAACATCCAACCGAATCAAATTGGTAGACGGCATCAACTGTATGTTGGTAATTTGACATGGGTATGTATATGTACACATGTATTCATATATATATGTACACATGTATACATATATATGTATACAGAGAATTAATTTTGATATTTAAAAATTATTCATATTTTAATAATTAAAAAATATTCATCCTTATCATTTTTTAGTGTAACTTTTTACATTGCGCCATGTAAATTAAAATCTCTTATTTTATAATAAAAGAAATAGAACAAATAGAAAAACTAATAAGTTTTTCAAACGATGCATCTTTTTCTGGTTTCTATAATATTTCATATTGCAAACAAAGCCCCTTCTCTTTCTCTCTCTCTCTCTCCTTTGAGAATTTGAATTTTAATACAATTTAATATTTAATTAAATATTTAATATAATTTGGTTAATTTAATATTCTTTATCATTTTTTGATAAAAATTATTCGATAACAAATTTTCTTTTCAGTGGACAAGTGATCAAGATATAACTGATGCTGTTCAAAGCGTTGGTGTGACTGATTTTGTGGAAGTAAAGTTTTTTGAGAATCGTGCCAACGGTCAGTCTAAAGGATTCTGTGTAATATCTCTGGGCTCTGAACAGAGTATGAGAATATGTATGGAAAGACTGCCCAAGAAAGAATTGCATGGACAGAATCCAGTAGTAACTTTTCCTACCAAACAAGCTCTCAATCAAGTATGTATTTTTGTGCATTGCGTAAATAAAGAAAACATATACAAACTAATTCTGTAATGTACAGAAATAGTATGTTATGATATTCATAATGATGGGTACACATGGAACTTAAACACGACAATCTTTTTTTTATGTGTTCTCAGTTTGAGTCGCAGTGTAAGACGCGACCTGCTCCGGCTCCACAACAGAGTCAGAGCCAACGTCCTCATAATCCACATCAACATCAGCCACCAATGCCACCTCATCAACAGCATCCCCAACACCCTCAACATCCTCAACATTCACAACAAAATCACGGTCCTAGAATGATGATGGGTCCTCCACAGGGTGTGAGACCGCAGAGAATGCCGCCACCTGGAATGGGTCCGCCAGGTCCTGGTGGGCCAGGTCAACAGGGTCCGCCACGTATGCATGGTCCGCCATTAGGACCAGGTCCAGGACCACATCATCCATTGCCTGGTCATCCTAATCAAGGTCCGCCGCCTGGTTATCAACAGGGGCCGTGGAATGGGCCACGTCCAAATGGTCCTCCGGGACCGCCTCGAGGACCTAGTGGACCTGGAGGTCCACCTCAGCAAGGTCCACCTGGACCAGGTCCTGGTCAGCATAGGCCTCCTGGAATGGTACGTATTGTGGCAAATTTTCATAAATTACTTTTTAACAAACAAAATAATTTTTTAACATACCTTGAACGGTATTTTTATATATCCATTTAGTGTTATATTTTTGAAATTTATTTACGATATTTAGTAGCAATATTTGTCTGCGTAATTTTATTGACAGCAAATATTTTGTGAATCATATGCCGTAATAAAAAAAGCCGTAATAACCAAAATATTATAGATTTAACAAAACAAATTTTATTACTTTTTTTTTAATATTAAACGATCATTGATTGAGGAATATAGAATTTATACATACTTATACATGTTTATACATATGAAATATTAAACATTTCTAAAAACAAAATGTAAAACATAAAACATAAAATAGTAACAGATGAACTTAAATGTATTAAAACCTTTTGAAATTTATTTGAAATCAATCACACGGAGAAACTTGTGATGACATTCGCAATGGTTTGGTAATCGTTATAACAACATTCTGAAGATTTCCTGAATGTTTAGAAATTTTCACACTATGCAGAATCAATATAAATATTTTTATAATTTAGATAAAATAGTTGCAAAAATTACAAGATAAATTTATAAAGAGATTTGCAGTTTTCAAAAAATCATTTAATGCATGTCTATTGTAAATGATCATGGTACAGGCTTAAATATCTTTTGCACTTACATGTCTTACGCGTAAACAGAGTTGCACTAGAGACCTTTCAGAAGCCAGTTATCATATACCACAGGTAATCGATAATGAGGTTTTCTTTTCAATTCTGTTTTCAAAGAATAATTGTATATATTGTATCTAATCAACTATTTTTATTATATTGCCTTAGAAAACTTCAACTTTCAAATTTAAATCTTGCATACAACTGGCTGTTTAGAAGATAAAATAACGATTAAGAAATAAAATTATAGCATTGTTGATATTTTAAATATATTAATTTTCTCAAACTCTGTCTTTTGTTTGATGAAGCTTGTATTTTATATTTTATTGATTTAATGTTACCACATAATGTCATCTACAATACATATATGCAACATTTTTATAGAAATCATATTATAAACGATAAAAAATTGAATTATGCATTGGATATTATATATAATATGCATTGGATATTATTCATTAAAAATATAAACATGGATACTAAATTTTTAAGAGAATTTTGTGTGAAGATTTTTTTTAGTGTACATATTTTTAGTATATATTAACGGTTATATTTTTTATACATATATAAATTTTACAAAATGTTCATTTTATAAATTTTATTAATGTTCAAACTTTTTTCTTATAAATTTTTGTCTCTTGTTTTCTAATTTAAAATTATTTGCTTTTTCGTCAAACTAGACAGTAATTATCTATATGTAATTATGATAGAGTGAAATAGAACCTTCATCTGTCTTCATTCAGCAATTTCATGGTGGTCCACCTGGACCACCCGGACAGGGTCCTCCGCGTGGCCCACCTGGACACTCCTGGT